TCAATCACTGATTGTGCCAGTCTGTAAGAAAGGACAAGAGTCCTTTTGTGACAGTCACAGAGGAATCAGTTTGACTAATATAGTGTCTAAAATATTAGCCTTAATAATACTTCGACGCCTAACTAAAGCTCGTGAAGAGCAGACTAGAGAAAATTAGACTGATTTTCGACCTGGACGTGGTTGTATAGATCAGATATTCACACTACGTCAGGTTCTAGAACACAAACACACATTCAGACGCCCCACAATGGTAGTATTTCTCGACCTTAAGGCGGCATTCGACTCTGTTGATCGTGAGGTTCTATGGCAGTGTTTGTCACTGAAAGGGGTACCAAAGGAGTACATTAACCTTTTAAAGGCTCTCTACTTGAACACAACTGGTCGAGTGAGAGCTTATGGCGAACTGTCATCAGAATTGATTACCTCAAGTGGTGTTCGTCAGGGCTGTCCACTCTCCCCATTCTTGTTCAACTTTGTCGTCAACGTCAGTCGCAAAGGCGAAGATTCTGTCATCTTAACATTTTAGTTGATAGGATGAACTGATCAATGCTAGGCTACCACTGGGTATCCGTTTCGTACTGGTATGGGACTGCTCAGCAATGAGCATCCACGATCTCGCACGCGGGACTTGATTCCAGGAACTTTTGTCTTGCGCGAACACTTGACCTCTAGACCACTGACTTGGGATCCAGCGGTGTCAACATCTAACTTCAACTAATCCACAATATTGTCCGACTAACTTCCATTGTCTTCAGTGGGTAACTGCCCCCAAACGCCCTGGTACGGGCGAGAGTGAGGAAAGTCAACTCTCCCTCTCGAAATGCCCTCACATGCTCACGTGCATACAACCACTGCCACGAGTGTCCTACTCACTATCTTCTCTCGGCAGGACTGTTGTTGAGGATGAAAAGCCAATGCCCGGTGCTTTAACCGGGTTGATGGATATGAGGGATCCACCTAAGATAGTTGGAAAATTCAGATTTCAAACCAATGGTACACATTAGCTGCAGAATACTGAGGAAACAAATGGTGTATCAACCTATTGTTAGTCACTGGCTACCATGGGACTGCATCTCCTGACGTTGCTCCACTATCTTGTGGATTAGACCTGTAGATGAATGGTTTGAGGTGTGGCTCCCTAAGAAATCTATCTGGTTTTGTTTTGGTACCCGGTCAGTATTCTAGCCCTCACACAATCAAATGATTTATGTGGCGCATATCTATTTGGTGCCTCCTTGTACCAATGTTTATATGTTTGAATAAATGAACTTTAGTTGTGATTGATTCTCACTAGAACTCCAAAAGTTACCTCTCGAATCTATTCATTAGTACTAGGATTAATCTGCCGTACCGTGCTTCCTGGTTTTCAGTAGTGGTCTAACATTGATTGGTTCGTGATCTCGATTCATATTCAACAGTCTTCACGACTCTATACTGATAAATTTAACATTTATCTGAAAATTTTCATGTTATCTTGTTACTTTTTTGTGACAAATTGAATCGGCGCTCGTATATTTCAGGTTCTATGTTACTTATGACAGACTGAATGACCTTGTATATTGAGTGACTATATGTCAAATACACTTATTTAGTACTACTCAAGCTGTTAGCCTATGTAACCTGCTACATATTTTAAAGTGACGATATAAAACTCCTCAAATTATTACATTATTGTTAAATCCTTTGTATTCGTTTTACATGTCTTCACATTAGTGCAAGATATATTGATTATTTCTTTTGGCTAACCTGTATCGTGTGAACGAAATTTCATTATACACATATATATATGTATTGTTCATGTGTTTCATGTACAATAAAAGTAGTCTTTCATTTACTTTAACTCAGACCTAGAGAGACACAAATTGAACTTATGTAAATTATCGTTTACGACTGAAGTAGAGTGTGCTGAACATTTCTGTTTTATTTTCATTTTTGGTTGTGAAAATTAAAACAATCATTTGTAAGATGAATAAATTGTTTAGTAGTTACAAATTTTTGTTTATATGCCACAATTGAGGTTACCACTTTCAAGTATTACGTGATAATAAGAGATGTTAATTATGGTTGATAATCAAAGCAAACTTTACGAAATTTTGATCAGTCCGATAAAAATGAAGCACAATCGTTTAATGGTTAAAACAATTGATTTATAACCAAATAGTTCATAAGTTATCTCAATGTGACTTATAGCTGCGTACTGAAACTTGTAATTAGTGAGTTACATTCGCTTGATGAAAGAGAAGTATTTCATCTATATTCTGTATCAAAAAAGAAACGGATGAGAATAATAATAATAATAAACAAAAAAGAATGTTAGCATTATTGAATTCATACAATAACATGATCATCTGATCTCTAATAAGAAAAATAAAATTTAGTTTAGTTTAAAAAAGATCATCATAATTATTGGATTGTTTAACTCTTTTCTTTTTGACCAATTCTTATTTACTGGTCACGTTTGAATCAATTCTAACTATTGTTCTTGCTCAAATGTGGATCATATGAAAATGAAACTGATTATAACGTAATGTATATCCAATTGAGAATATTCAAATTTATGCCAATAACTTTCTCATGATCAAATCGTTTAAAGTTATTTATTAGTAGTTTCAATGGGTATTTAGCTTTTTTTCTCGATAATTGTGAATAAGAAGAATATAAACTATTTGTTATATTTTTTTATTATTATTATTTGAACACATAAATACTGGTACAAGGGGGTACCAGATATATATGCGCCACACAAATCTCATTTGATTTGTGTGAGGGCTGTGATACTGCCTGGGTGCCCAAACCGAAGCAGGTGATTTTCTTAGGGGGCCACACCCGGAGCCTTCGATCTAAAGGTCTGATCCACAAGGCAGTGGAGCATCGTAAGGAGATTCAGTCCCATTGTAGCCGGTGACCAACGATTGGTTCATACGCCATTTATTCCTTTAGGATACTGGAGCCCATGTGCACGATTGTTTTGGAATCAGGGTTTTCCAACTCCCCTAGGTGAACTCTCCGTGTCCACCAACCCACTTAAAGCGTTGAAGATCCGCTTTTCATCCTCTCAATTTTGTAAACATCACCCGCGCCACGAGAAGGCAGTGAGTGGGACTTCCCTGGCAGAGGCTATATACGCATAGCCATGTGAGAGCATTTTGAGAGGGAGAGCGAACTCCCCACTCTGGACCGTACCAGGGCATTTGAATCAAATATCCAGTATACTAATTTATATATCATTACTGAGTTGGATTATTTGAAATCTGTTAAGGTTTCGTAATTTTTTTAACGTTAACAACATGTTTTGAGATATTTGCATTATCTTATTCTGAATATATTATGTAATAACCTCGAAATTACAAATTTCCTGACGAGCCTCTGTTATTTTTTAGATGTTTTTAATAACATTTCTGGATTTGTTAAAAGAGACATTCATATAGTTGATTTCTTGCGTAGAATCTCTTCGGAATATATATTTATTAAAAGAACAAGTTAGATGGAGATCTATTTCTTAGAGTTGAGGGAAATAAGAGAAAATCCAATATTTCTCTGGATAACATAAATTTTAGCTCTGGTTTTCGCTAATTTAAACTACCATCTGAACTATGTAATCTTGATACAACTTTCATTACTATCTACTAATCTTAGCAAGAATTAGGAATTTACTTTTACGTATAAAATAAGCTTAATGTAAAAAAATCTCAGATTCTGATTAAAATCGACGAATAACCTCAGTTGAAACTGAATTTAAAATCAATGAACCTTTAAATTACTAAATCAGTTGACTTCACACAATTTCAGTAGGTTTTCATTCTGTATTCTGTTTTGAATATTGTGTCAGTTTGAAATGTTCCTTTGTTAATATTTCATTAGATACACTCATTCATTTAATTCTTCATATCCTGATTCTAGTCGACCAGCTTCTCTCTCCCTCTCCATCATACACGTACCTTCTTTGTATAATTATTATGCGTTACTTTGAATCAAGAAAACTAATCCTGACTAAATAGCTAATGTAATTAATATACAAACTTTTACTTTCATTAATTAGTGATGTCTTCTACATAATGTAAATCAACTATTGTTGATTAACAACTTTACAATCAAATTTCTAAGCTGAACAAATCAATATTGCAGTGTCTGACCCAAGATTTTGTTGAGTTCATTATCAACAATAGTGAAAACATGTTTAAAACATAAGCATTTGAAATTAATCAGTTTTCCACATTAAAGGATCTTTCATATTTTCTGAGCTTTTGTTAGATAAACTAATGAATATGAGATATTTTGTTCATAGCTGAATATTAGCGTCTATAATTTTCAAAAATTAAATCTATACCTTTTAATCTATCCGAATAAATCAGTTAGACAAATTAAGTGTATTCACAGTTATGTCTTATTTTCATTGATCTCATCCTCATGACCTGTTGTTCCCCTGTTGGATTCTGCTGCTAATCATCATGAGTCTTCAGTTCAGGGATATCCAGTAACTTTATTTTGCCAAATAAATAACCTGCTAGTGCTTCTCAACATATTGAAATTCTTGTAAACTAGCTAGTTGGTTAAACACAATTGATATTTGACTGGTAGTAAAGTTCAGAATGCGTGTTTCGTCTTATTCATGACTCGTCACCTGTATGTACCTGGATCCCAGTTTTGGCATCCTCATTGACATTTGAACCCAGTACCGCTGGCTCCAAATGCCCAAAACATTATCCACTAAGCTGCTAAGTCTAAATAACCACTAATTTATTTATATAAATATGTTTATACAGATATATTTTGAGGGAACCGATTTAAATGCACATATAGCAGTCTTGATTATAACCAACTAGATATCACGAAACTTTACCAATAGCTGGTTGATTGATAGTTTATCTCACCGTGTCTATGTAGTATTTGTTAAACTTGGTCGATTTACTTGAATTTGGCTGTGATCCTCCTGTATGTTATTTTATCTAATTATTACTCACCTCTAACTTTATGTATGATTTTTCTTGTTCTCATTGTAGCTGGAATTGTTGTGTTTACTCCATCTTATGAATATCAGTCAATTTTACATAATCATTGGGAGGCGACAGGTTTACTGAATAAAATAACAAAGTATAAAAGTTTCTTTCACGAACCAAAAACAACAATTCAATTAGATCAAGTGAATGGTCTTTATTGATTTATATTATAATTTGATAATTAATATTTCATTCGTTTGTTCAACTTTTCTTCGATAATTAGCTAGTAGAATAAAAATGATAGAGAGGTTAAGAGCTTTAACCGATATATTGATGCTTCAGAAACTACACTCATACCTTAAAATATCAATGAATTAGTGGTTCATAATATTTTCTGTTTCTTTAGGTTTCAAAAACAATATTCTTTTTTCGCTGTATATTTGTAGAAAAAGAGATAAATCAGTTACATTATCATTGTAAAAAGAATACTGTTTTTCTCGACTAAACTAGTAATCCGCTATTTGCAAATCATATTTTCTTATGAGGTGACATCAATTAGAAAATTGCTCTGAAACTATCTAAAACATTTTAAATGTTTAATGATTGCAGCATACCCAGAATCATATAGAGTAAGTGATGCAGATCAGTGTGTAGTTTTTATTTCAATAGACGAGTTATCCAAGACTGTCTACTATGAATAATATTCAATATATCGAATACCGATATACCTCACATAAAAAGCAAAAGTATAGTAAAATATGGGATCTGATATGAAATCCCTAATGAAAATTACACTCGAATATCCAGTAATTATTTAATAAATGAACGGAAAAGTCACTAAAAATTTTGATTGCGATACGCCTAATAAATATTTAAAACATTGCCGATAATGTCAGCTGAAAGGAAGTTATTTGAAACAATGCAAACTGGATAGTTGTTTCAAATTGTTTTGAACCTCTCAGAAGAATATGTTCTCATAATCACATCACGTTACAAACGTGGAATTTATCACGAGTACATTTTTAGCTTGATCATTTAAACTAACTTTGAAATTTCACCACAGTTTCGTCCTAGTATGGGACTCCTCAGTAGTGCACACCCACGTTTTTCAAGGTGGTTTAGCTTTAATCGACTCATGAGTTTAACTAATATCCACAAAACCCTTTTCAGATACAAATTTATTTTATATATTAGTACATTTTCACTACGAATATTAAGTCGTCATTAAGTCTGTGATCTTTACATTTTCAGTCATCTGAAACTGTCTAACGCACTCTGTATCTGTAAGGAATCTGACACTAGCAAACATTAGTTTGATAGAACATCACCTAGCTGTTTGGAATGAATGTACGTGATAACATGACTAGGATTGTAATAATAATAATAGTTTGTTTTTACTAAATTTGATAAATTACAATATTTGTTGAAAGTAAATTCTTCATCACGTTCATTAAAATTTTTTTACAATGATAAACACTAAAATATTAAAAAAAAACGTTTTGCGATGATTAACATCTAATGTACTAAATATATATTTACTTCTTTTGATTATTTGAAAATTGATAATGAAATATTTAACAGAATTGAAGTAGTAGTAAAACAATTACACATTTAGGTATCATTACTAAGGTTTGATTTGATTTGTTCCGTTGTACTATTCAAACGTGGATTAATTTTAATTTGGTTATCTATCCTCTGAATATGTGGCTTATACTAAGTCACGAAACGTCATAAAATCTAATTTTTCTACTCATTGGGATATTACAAATATATTATTTATTTAATTACACATTTAGTATAGTTTACCATACGAATGTAAAACGATATAGTCCAATTGAATGGATGTATTTATTTAGATAGATTTTCTGAAATAATAATAATGATATATATTCAGTTCCTAAATGAAATATATATCTCTGTACAACCTTACACTATGTTAGGTTTCTAAAGCGTCAATAAAATGCGTATTTATCGTCAAGGTTTATCTGAAAATTTTAATAAATACTTTTTATTACCGTGTAATAAAGTCACATTTAATATACCACAATATTATTTAGGTTGTAATTTTCGTAATAACAATAATGAAAATTAAATACCTTGGTTTTTCGTTGACAATATCATCAATTATCTGATATTTCAACTAATTGGTTTAGCGTATATTTCTGTATACAGTTTGGTTTTTAAATGATCAACCTCAATTAAGCAATATATGTACAGAAAATGTGCCTTATACAACTTACCTAGACACCAAACGGGTATCAGATGATGACGATATATTCCATGAAGTCTTTCACACAATGTAAAATCCTATTTCCTAAGAAATTCTCCAATTGTGTAATCTATGGTTTGAAATATACTGTATGTATCATTATATTACTTGTCGTGCAAAAGTAGTATGGTTTTCCATAGAAAGTTTTACAGATATTCATAACTTGTTACATTCTCAGTCTTGTGTTATGTTGATATGAATCAAATCGTCTGATATAAATTTCTCGCGAAAATTTAAGCCATCTAGTTTATTTATCTGCGCAGTTCCTTTTAGATTCATCAAACTATATGATTAAAAACTTGAGATCATCTGGCAATGGTTTTATTCTAATTTTAGGATTCCTCAGAATTGTATACTTACATCTATGAACGGAACTAAATTAATAAATTTCACTTCTGATGGCGAAAATTGTCCCCTTTTTGTTTGTTCATGTTTACAACTCCAACCAATTTACATTATCGATTCGCCATCGCTAATCCCCACATGATCACTGCACACATTAAGTCTTACTAGAATTCACTAGTGAATATATCGCAATAAATCTCCCATAAGTGTTTATAAAAGACTATTCATTGAAATATTCTGATGACTCAAACACTATTGCCCAGAGACACTTCAAACATGTTTAAAATCCACCCTGTAGATTAAATAAACCAGTAGTTTGTCTAAATTATGTGAAATTTACTTGATTCTAAGATGGTTAATTGATGTTTTGATTTTCAAACCTCTGTTTTGAGATTTTAGATAATGCAAGCTTATGGAGTAGCAGCTACCCAAAAACTGCAACATAGACATGGAGCGCTTTTGCTATGTGTGATTGGTGGAAAACTCAGTGAAGGAATAAATTTCACAGATGATTTAGCTCGAGTTGTGATCATTATCGGCATGCCATATGCAAATCCACAGTCCCCAATTGTAAGTATATAGCTCCGATTCAATTACGTATATATATATATACTTTCTTCCGACTCAGGAGAAAATAAACACTCGAGTCCCAATTTCAGAAAGTGGTCTATTGTGTTAAGTTGCTCGATACAAAAGTCCATGAGGTCCAAAAACTTGTTACTATCTTTATTTTATGTGATCTTTCATGAAAACTCTGTTAGATAGTAGTGGCTTTCAACATTTACCAGTCCCTGCTTATTTTGGTTCTTACAGACAAAAATCCTGGTATAATGTATAGTTTGTAGAGTATATATTATTTGTGAAAACTAAATCTGTCAATTTCACTTCTTCTTTAAAAACCGCATTTCTTCTTTAATATTATGTAGAGTGATAGTATTGTTTATAAAACATAGAGTATAATCATGAGGCCACAACATTTTTACTAACTTTGCCTCAACTTCATTGTTTGCAATTAATGTTAGCACTGTAGGTTTAATGATACCTTATTGAAGTGTATACATTATTTGCATTGCTGAATTGTTAAATGGAATCATAAAAGTAATTTGATTGATGCATTTGAATTTAACCATCCAGTCTAGATAACATAACACCATGCGAAGCATCCATTTCAGCCACAAATCTCCATTGTTTTACAAGTAATTATTATAAAGTTTTAAAACGTTTCTGATACATTGTCTAAGAACAACTCATAATTTCCCTTTTCTACTCAAACCAGGATGAAACAGCCATAGTGTTGTCTGGCTTAGAATAGTGTTCCCCAGTTGGTACATATGCGTTATGAATATTACTTACGTATTTAATTGGTAACTGACCTAAATTCTAAAGACAATATAGAAACGCTGGACTGATGTCATGCGGTACCGAACTGCTTATGTACATTTGTAGGGCCACGTGATAAATAAAAGTTGAGGCGGCCTGATGTAAGTGAGTTGTTCGTTTGACCAAGGTTATCGCATATATATCCTTGTCTAGATCAGACAAGACGCATAAGTACTAAATATTTTTATGGTACATTAATATCAAATTTCCATGGTCTTGGTTTACTCTCTCCACATATTCGATTTGTCACTGATTTGAGAAGTGCGTATTAGTAACCGGATCGAATTTTAGAACACAATAATGGTTGGGCGATTGGGTTAATTCATATAACAATCCCTCTAAAAATATTTAACCATTGATTTATGTTTTATTCATTGTCTTATGACATTCACTGATGAACTTCCTTTCCATTTTTCTAGTTAAGAGAAAAAATGAATTATTTGGATAAGCATTTCATTCGTGAATCCCAATCTACACAAAATCCAGGTAGGCAATATTATGAGACAATGTGTATGCGTTTAATAAATCAAGCTATTGGTCGATCTATACGACATGCAAAGGATTATGCTGTTGTCTTCTTATTGGATAATCGGTACTATCGTTCAACGATTCAATCACAATTACCTAAATGGGTTCAACAAAGTATTATTCATCAACAATCAAATGATAAACAATCGACTTCACTGTCATCGTCAAATCATTACAGAAAGTTCTTAAATTTATCAGAAGCTTTGGAGCATGCTAAGAGATTTTTCTTAAGTAACAAGGAGTGTTTGGAATAGAAGAAATGATTCCTTTTTGGAAAAAAACGAGGGAAATTGACTTGGTGTGTAATCTTTGTTTTTAGTCTTACATTTTTTCATTCTCACGATACTTTTTATGTATTCAGGTACTTTTTCTAAAATTGCAATTCATAATGTGAGGCAAGGAAAATGTTTGGGTGTAATGGTGATCAGATTTCAATTAGTAGGACGAAAGTCGATTTCAATGCATTTAATTAATAATTTTTTTATTTACTTTATTATCTCTGTTTATCAATTAATGCACTCCTGATTGAATAAATTTTCTCATTACTTATTATACTTGTTAGCAAATCCTGATCTGATCTACTACCTAGTTTAGCCACTATCAATGCGTACACTCCTAATGCTTTATCAACTCTTTAGTAAGCTTTAATACCAGAAAAGCATATACGTACAACAGACAGACTTCATAATTGGCTTCAGGATATTAGATTAGGTTAGATGAATAGTTCATCTATTCTTGAACTGATGAATGCTTATATCCTACTTGAGATATTTTGCATCTTGTCTAATTCGCTCGGTTTTTTGATGTTTCAACGGTCCTTTACTCAACTTTATTTTATTGTGTTGCTGTAGATGGAGTGTAACATCATCTTGTTTATTGTGACAAAGCCTTTTTGTTTACCGTCCTGTAGGATCAAGGAAAAAATGTCGCAAAGATTCCTACGTTTCTTGAGAATGAAAGGTGGTGTCATCCCTAATTTGAAAGTGTAAAGAAAACTAGTTATATAACCCTAGTTCACATGAGGTATTCCATACAGGAGTTTTAATAAAATTCAGTCGCATGTAGTTTCTCTTTGTATGAACAGTTTTTTTTAATGATGAACTAACTCCCTATAATGTAAGTGTTAACATACAGTTTTAAATAAAATAGAAACATCTCACAGACAATTAACCGAGAAATTCACAGTAATATACAGAGCATTTACCAGTAGTTCAGATGCATCCATATCCAGTCTTGAAACCAGCCTTGTTTCCAACAGCTCGCTCTTTACGAGCCCTAAATTAGCATTAACGGATCATCAGTGTTAACAATTTAAACACTATACTGATCAAACTGAATCCTTCGTGATTGTGATAGGAGGATTTTTGTCTCTTATTACATACTGGGACAATCAGCGATCGAGACCAGTCATAGGAGATTACGTCTAGTTCCCAGATTCTATCTATGACCTCATTTAATCTAACTGCTAAAACTGCACCACCATCTTTAAAAATCTTCAGGGTTAATCAATCAGGTCATGGTGCTCTCCCTCGCCTTACATTGAGCACAGCCTTTTCAACCTCACTATGAGTTGAAGGATTTTCATCAAATCGTCATTTAAATTATACTTAGAAATGGTGGATAACTGAAGTCCAGTAGAACTGTCTCCTAAAGTATTCTGCTCACCAGTCCAATCTCCTACATTAGGTGAATGACAGTCCCAGTCCTTTCCGATATAGTCTCACTAACAACCGAAATTTCAATACCTGATTTTTTGATAAGTGTGAATACTTTTTAACATTTTTTCCTTTTACGTTCGCTACCCACCACCTTGCACAATCATTCGGTAGGGTTTTCTTGCCCACTAACTCTAACCACCTAACATTCGAACAATAAATAATCAACAGTTGTAAATCTACTGACGGCTGGAAGTTAGGATCGGTCTATGTTGTAAAATGTTTAGTTATTCAAATGGAGTGATGATTAATGGATTATTTTTACACAGCTATGTGCACAACCTAAAGATAACAATAAACAAATAATGTTACAGAATACATACGAGTTATTATAAAAAAGAAATGAAGAAATAATACATGATTACAATTTCGGAGAAATTATAACATTTCTGTGTAACATACAGATTTCCTATTATCCGAAATCTTTTTTTTAAAAAAAAGTTATTAAAATAATGAAAGCACCACAAACAATTATGCAGTATTTATTTCAGCTCAATTATAAATCACTTCCTTACTTTGTACTACACTTTCAGTGTATCAACAATAAAAATAATTTCTTTGACTTGTATATCTTCTCTATACACAAAGTGTTGGAGATTTAGATTGGCTTATTTTATATATATATATATATATATATATATATATATATATATATATATATATATATATATATATAAATCAAATCATGAATACAATGTGTAGTGGATTTTTTTTCAAATAAACTTCTGACAGTAAATTATTTGGATTTCTTTCTCAGAAATAAACGGATACAAACCAGGTAGAAAAAAAGTGCTGAGTAAAGAAGAGAAAAACAAACATACAAGTTACTATTAATTCGTGAGCGAAGGCAAATTAGCCTAAATTGGCAAGGTTAATCAGTATGTATATATTCCATTGTAATCAACACGGGGTGGTCATGGTAGTGTTATTTATAGTAGTTTAGTCTTTCTAATATTTTTAAGCCTTTTTCTTCGTATTCAGCACGAGTTAACCATGTAGTACGTCGGTCATTTTTCATAATATTTGCCAAACTGATCCACCTATAAATACCATATGTTTTCTTTGAGGTGGGGCTTCAATGCACATCTTGAATTTCTGAGAAAAAAATGAATTAACAAAGTTGAACAAACTGAAAATAATTATCTTTAGCATAAAAACTCAATGATTTATTATTGGAGTGAACTCCTAAATTAAATAAGGGCACCAAAAATGAATTATCTTTACTATGCAATATAGAGTCGAGATAAACATCAGGAATGAACGGCGCAAAATATATTGTTTTATCCTATTATTAAAAAATAAAATTATTGTGCATTTGAAATCATCCTTACACTAAATGAATTTTGTAAGTTTTCTTCTGTGTGATTAAAGATTGACTGATCGCATCCATTATGGAGACAAGACTAAACAATTCGTTAATAAATCTAGTCAAGTCGTTAGTAGAAAGAAATATCAATTTATCAGAATGGGTTTTGTGGAGATTTTTAAAAATTTCACTAGTTGAAATCATTAGTCAATTGAAGCTAGACCACCATGGAATACCTGGAAGCACTGGACGGCCGTTTCGTTGGATGCCGACTCAGTTGTCTAGTGGTTAAATCCTTGCGCGCGAAACCAGTAGGTCCTGGGTTCGAGTCCCGCGGAGTGCGGGATCGTGGGTGCGCACTGCTGAGGAGTCCCATGCCAGGACGAAGCGGCCGTCCAGGTTTTCCATGGTGGTATAGCTTCAATTGACTCATGATTTCAACCAGTGAAATATCAATTTATTTAAATGTAACTACAGAAATCAGTACTAAAGATTCTGTTGATAACACAATGAGTTAGAGATTAATTTCAATGGTATATGTACATTTATTTCGAAATTCTTTTCTACTTAGTATCGAATTCATTTGGAGTAGAAATTCTTTTTAAACTAGTCAAATAGCATCAAAAAGATTCTTTTTCTAAATAGATGATTGGTCGGTTGATTTCCAGTCAGAAATTGATAAATTATTTAGAAAAACACTTAATACCAGGGACCAAAAAAATTGATATTTTGTCCTACTACTTATCCGAGGTCATACAAACTCAAAAGCAGTGTTACGCATTGAAAAATAAACCAATAGATGGAGATCCACTGGTCTGAAGGTTAAGATTTAGCCACTAAATCTGAACGTCCTGAATTCGGTCTCTGGTGGGATCGTGATAGACGAGAACTGCCGAGGAGTTTTATACTGAGATGAAACAATTCTCCAGTACTCCGTGATTTTTTGGGGTTAATACGTGATGCAAACGAGAATAAATCCTTCTACAAAACCCTACAGTAAGTAATAACCTCAAACAGACAAGAAAATACATTAAAAGATATTCGCGTGATAGTAGTGTAATGAATGAGAACACAGGTGGGGACGACCAGTGTATTTAAATACAAAATTACAAAATGTCTTGGTAAAATATGAGAACCGTACATTGAATACTTCATTTGCAAATTTCCATAAACTGTTCCGAACTTTATCGTTCCTTCATTGCCATAACAATCACTCTTTGTTCCCGTTCTCTTCAATTCGATCATCCCAACCTTCTGTTGCCAGGTTTTCTACTTTGGATTGACGATACATACTACTTATATCGACAGACATAAGTAACATACATCACAGTAGTTGCTGCTGTTATTACTGAGTAAGTGAATTGACCAACCTTCAATTCAATGCCTACGTCTACCTACATTGTTTTTAGAAATTAATGATTGTGTGACTTGTTTTTGTATTTTGACTTCACTACAACTTCGACAAAGCTTCCTCTAGAGTAAATATATAATACTTCAAGTTGGTCAGTGATCATGTGCAATATGTGTTCTAAAGTATTTTATTCAATGGCGATTCATGACTAAAATTCAATTAACAAACTACATTGAAGACTTAGTTTGAATTTTAAACTTTTAACCATTGTCTCTATTTTACATAACTGCGATACTTAAAAAGTAGTATTCACAATTGAATTCATTTATTCTTCTTGTCTTTGGTGCCTATACCTTACAGATATACAAGCCACTGTGTATATTGATTTTTCTTGCTTGATGAGAACCTATTCACTTATCATAAATATTGTTAAATATGTGATGATTAAACATTATTAGCAGAACATAGACAAAAACATACGAAATTATATTTCATCCATGAAGTACTTTTAAAAAATTTGATCTTTAAAAATATTGAGAAAGTGACGAATCTATAACTATGATATAATAAGCACAGGATCAATGAACAACCAATCTCATATTGTATCCTTCTCATTACGCTCAAATAATCAGATGTTATCAGATAAAGCTAAATTCAGTTTACTGATTCTACTGAATTAAAACATTTGAGAGACTTGAGTTGAGGCAACTAAAAATAATAATTGTATTGGGAATATATATTGGGAACAATAATAGACAAACAGAAAATTTATAACTAAAGCCAATACAATAAAGTGGTATTCTTGGATATTCAATATTTCATTTTATGATTTTTTAAATTTAATAGTTGAATTCATGAGCCAATTAAAGCTAGACCATTATGGAAAACCTGGATGCACTGGACGACCGTTTCGTTCTAGTACGGGACACCTCAGCAGTAAGCATCCACGATCCCGCTCGCGGGATTCGAACCCAGAACCTATCGGTCTCGCGCACGGACGCCTAACCTCTAGACCACTGAGCCAGCATCCAACGGTGTTAGTGTCTAACTTGAACCAATCCACGAAGATGCACCACCGTCCACTGTTGTCTTCAGTGAATTACTATCTCACAACAGTCCCGGTTGAACTCCACTGGTCACGGCCCGTTTCGTCCTGTTTGGGACTCGTCATGTGGATGTACATGCATACCAGAGTTTAAATAACCAATACAAAAATGAATCAAAACTTCACCACAATTGCACAAGCTAGTGGCTCTCTGGACTCAGTAGCTAAGTGTGTAACGCGATGGCATTTGAAGCGAATGGTACTGGATTCGAGTCTCGGAGTGAACATCAACTCTGAAACCCAGGTGTATCCGGTTAAAGAATCCTAAATAGGACGAAATGTAATTCCTGGGTTCCACTGCTAGCCACCATCCATCTCTGCTTACTAATAATATTGTTACTAGTACTAATAATTACTAATAATAACTCTATCACTCTGGAATTCGCCCTAACAATTTCTCCTTGCTCTACTAATAGAGGCGTGGCAACTTGAACAGATGTGAAAATGTGCCAGATTCTACTTTGCGTATGACTCACTAAATGACTTAATCAAAAAAACAATTAGAATACTTACTGCAAATCTTTCTGTATCACCTTTCAGTACATTTTGTAAATATAACTGTTTAATTTCACGTTCAAGACGACTTGGCAAACCAGGATACATTGTACTCCCACCACTTAATACTATATGCTTGTAGAATGCTGGTCTTGTATCAATATCAGCAGCTTGGATTGTATTAAATAATAATTCTGATATACCGACACCTTCACGATCGATTAGATGAGGCTGAAAGAGAGCTTCTGGTGCACCGAATAGCTCACCGCCTACTTTGATAACACGTCCATCAGGTAACTGTAGTTGTTCGCAATTAAGTTTGAAAAAAAAGTAAAAACAAATAATAGATTTATTAAGATGTGCTCGGCTTCGAATCAGATATTTTCCATAAAATCAAGCTCATATGAACTATTGAGGTTGTGCCATCTGTGGCACATAGATCGAAGGTTAGCTATTTGATTCAGTTTAAATTCTGTAATATATGTAGAGAGACGAAAGAAGTAGAAGTGGAGTGTAAATATTAATCTCCTATATGCTTAAAAATTATATAATAACAACTACTACTGATGTTTCAACCTAAAAAAGTGACGGAAATATATAGTGTAAGTTAACAAAGAAGAAATCATTTACACACATAGACATTGGTACACGGGGGCACTAAATATATATGCACCACACAATATAAATGAGGTTGTGGAAAATGGAGGGTGGAAGAGTAACGATGAACAGAAATTAGCGTATGAGTGTCAAATAATAATAATAATAATAACCAGAGAAGCAGTTCAGTTAGGAAACATACAATCAGGGAAAATCCTTTCAGTTAAAGAAATTACGCTTACTTTTATAAAGAAAGTAAAAGTAATTTACAGCACGATCGCCACTGGATTCTATTCTGAGCTATGTCTGATAACGTCTCTAGCTGCTGTGTTGCATCACCTCTAGAACCCCAACGAGGAAGTTGCGAAAGGCCAACGGAAGCCAGTCCTGTACAGCTATATTACATACCACGACACTGCGTCATACACTGACCACCTCTCCGCCTTTTTTAACCGGTCCCATTTTCGGCATCCGTAGGACATGCCCAAACCACTGATAGTGACACCAATTGGATTAATGTCGCTGTGCCTGACCACACGTTGCCGAACCTTTGCATTACTAATATAGTGATACCACCGGACGTCAACAATCCCTCGGAGACAACAATGAACAAGCACAGAGTCATCTAAAATCCTCAACTCGGAAAGTCCAGGTTTCACAAGCATACAACGAAACCGCTCTCACCGACCCGTCGTAGATCCAACCTCTTACAACCAGACTAACATCACAAAGGTGCCAAAAATGACCCAGATTGGCGTAATTCGCTCTGGCTTTCAATATACGTGAATCGATCTCATTACTCACTCACACATCTACTCAGATACACGAACTTCTCTACTACTTCTGTCTGCTCACTACCCAGGATGAGTGCAGGATCAAGGTCCTGCCAATCTTGTAAAAGTACTTTGCACTTCGAAGGTGCAAATCACATACCATGCCTACGGATACTGATTGTCAACTGATTAAGTGCGGATTGCATGACTTATGTATCATCGTGCAAACACCATGCGCACACTGAAGGTCGGAAAGCCTTTCTACAGGCAACAGATCCACACCACTACTGCCTACATCTATCACAGCTATTTCGTAAACGTCATCAGTGACAAAGTTGCGGAGGGATTGTGAGATTGGGCAACCCTGTCTAACCCCACTGCACGAATGGAACAATGGAGAAAGGTTGTTGTATGACCTCACTCTACCTGAGGTGTTTGTGTATAGGGCCTTTAGGATGTTAATAAACTTCTCAGGTACACCCTTCTTCAATAGACAATCCCAGAGAACAGTTCTGTCCAACGAATCGAAGGCAGCCCTGATGTCAAGAAACACTACGATTGTTGGCTTGTGATACATTCTCGACCAGAACGAAAACCAGCCTGCTCCTCGCGAGTCAATCTTTCTCGAGTTTTGAACAACCTACGAAGTATGACGGAAGCCAATAGCTTGGACGCAATCGGAAGTGGACTTATCCCCCGATAGTTGTTACAGGAACGAAGTGAACCCTTTTTAAGGATAAGGACAACTATCGACTCATTCCATGATGTTGGTACACTCTCTAGCTCCCAAACCTTTGTAAACAACGTCGTCAATTCCTTAGTCAGGAAGTCACCACCATCTTTAAAAAGAGCCGGAGGTAAGTCATCTGGGCCAGGTGATTTGTAACGCTTCAAGAGTTGGAGTTCCTTGCGGACTTCCGTCTCATTAGGTGAATCAGTCGCCGCCGGCCACGAAGAGTAAGACAGTCAGTCTGATTGGTGTTACAGAGGCAGTCAACCAGTAGAACTGTTACTCGAAGAACTATGCCTGTCGGCCAGGACGTCGGTAGAAGCTATTCATTGGCATCTCGTCAGCGTCACAGATTTTTTCACTCACACCAGACTTCTTGCTGTTAGTGACTCAGATGAGTTGGAAGAGCTTCCATCACTCACTAGAAGCAGTTGCTGCTTTCAGCTCATTAGCAAGCTCCAACAACCATACTTCTTGGTTCCTACCCAAGTTTTCCACAATTCCACTACGTAACAATCTTCGTTTGTGGTCAAACTTGTGGTCGTCCGGAGTAATCCAACGTGCTTCAACGAGTTGTAAGGAGGCTGTATAAACCCAGTGCTAATAAGCGGGACGTTCCATGAAGCCGCAAGCGACGTTATTCACCATTTTCGTGGCGTCATGCAATTGAAGAGATCTAAGAATGCTGATAGATTGATATGGTAAGATCATACAGTTTTGTAATCAAAAGGTTTTTTTAAAAGTGCTGGACCCTTCGTCCAAAAATTATAGAAGATAATGTGAAAAATTGGCTGTTACCAGCCATTTTGTATATGTTAATGAAGTTTAAATTATTTATACATTGTTCTTAATTAGTCAGTTGGAAAAAGTGGATAGTGATCATGTGATTCGTACCAAATTGTAACACAAACATGTCTATGAATCTCATTACCAAAGTTTGGCTTGATAGCTTCGAATAAATTGAGCATTGGGTCGATCGTTAATGATAGAAATAATCATGAAACGTCAAATGTTTGACTTCTCACTCATTAGGACCTTACAAATATGTTATTTGTATTGTGTATTTACGGAGACATATTTCACTGGCCTTTTTTAAACTAATGAGTCTGAAAGTTATTTGTGGAATTGTTGTTGTTGTGGATGCGGAGGAATAGACCAATAATTATCATGTTAAGTTCAATGGTGTCCTTGGACTTTAAATGGACATTTCCTATTGGTCGATATCTGTTCACTTGTTGAATATTGTACAAAATGTTGTTTTCTATTTTTATGGTACGCTGTGGTATGCTTGACTAGTATATAAACAAAGTATGTTTGAAATATAGTGATTCATATCTCCGAGGCTGTGACTTGTGTTCTGGACTCAACTGACTGGGCTAGACAGGGAAGCGGGACCAATAGAGACTCTAGGTCGTCCGTACGTGTTTTCCGTGTCACTGTACTGCGATCGATCAATAAATACGCTGCTTATCAAGACCTGCAGTCACATCAGTCATAACAATTGGCGACGGGGTGGAGAAAAATTTTGAACCTTGTAATTGGACGAGATTCAGGTTAATTGTTTCGACCAATCAGCATCCAGATTGTCACCAGCGTCCTTGAGCAACATTGGTCATTATTCCTACAGTTAATTTTCATTGCAGGTGCTGAAAAAAAAATGACTACCTTTTCCGATCGATTACAGCTTCTACTTGAGCAACAACAGCAGTGCTTCAAAAATAGCCAGTTAAATTTTTTAGAAAATTTACGCACACTGTTGGTAAATGTTCCATGTTTCGGAGGTGCAACAGAAGTTGGTAAATTCATTTCTCATCTGCAGACTGAGCTGGAAAACAACTGCAGAACATATGAAGCTGTTTATAAAAGCCTCTGTGAATCCCGGACGACCAGTGATGTAAACGAGACAGTTATTCATGGTCCGCCCAGTTGTCCAGAAATGTCAAATTCCGAAACGTTCCCTGTCGTGGGTTCAAATCCCACTGTTCCTGAAACGTGTACAGACAGTGATGTACCCAGCTCACAGGAGGATCTCTTATTAAATGCTCATAAATTAATTGCAGTACCCGCCCACAACGGAACAGGGAACAAATCGTGCGGTACACTGAATCCAGCTGTTTCAAATGGTCCTCATCATTCAACAACAGGAGATTCTGACGAATCTTATTATCTAGATCTTTTTGTACCAGAAAATGTGTTAAATGCATTAAATGATGATCAGAAATCTAATACAATTTTGATAGATGTTGATTATCGCAGTGATCAACTGTTTACAAATGAGATTTTCAACAAATCCCGTGACAATGTTCCAGAAGAATCAAACGTTGGTGACCTCATATCAAGCGACATTGTTCCCCACTATTTAATCACTTTCAGTGACTCCCCTGTTCAATCTGACAATTATGTGTTAAATAAAGTCAAATTAATTCTAACTTGGGAATATGAGGACCCAACATTATTTCGTGGGGGAGGATGAACCCAGAAAATTTCAAAATCCGGATATCAACTCCGGATCTTCAAAAAAAAGGGGAGGTGTTGTGGATGCGCAGGAATAGACCAATAATTATCATGTTAAGTTCAATGGTGTCCTTGGACTTTAAATGGACATTTCCTATTGGTCGATATCTGTTCACTTGTTAAATATTGTACAAAATGTTGTTTTCTATTTTTATGGTACGCTGTGGTATGCTTGACTAGTATATAAACAAAGTATGTTTGAAATATAGTGATTCATATCTCCGAGGCTGTGACTTGTGTTCTGGACTCAACTGACTGGGCTAGACAGGGAAGTGGGACCAATCGAGACTCTAGGTCGTTCGTACGTGTTTTCCGTGTCATTGTACTGCGATCGATCAATAAATACGCTGCTTATCAAGACCTGCAGTCACATCAGTCATAACAGTTGTCAATTACTTTCACTTCATATATGTGTCAGCAACTGTTAGTGCACATAACCTCACAAGTAACAGAGGGGTGAAGTTGTGACTAAGGGATTTTGTTTTCGACCACTAGATTAGATGTTCGAATTCGTCTCATCTTTTAGTATTACCGACCCTTACACAAAGAATATGACTTAAAGCCAAGTAAATAAACCTGTATCACAGTTACCAATAAAGCCAGACATTAACAGCAAGCAATTGCTAAAAGTATCCAGTTATGATTTGGTTAATTATTCATATGACCCTCACAATTACACTCATAATATGATGTGTCATATATTGATATTTGATAAAGTAGGACAGGTGACTCGTGTTTTTACCATAAATAAACTAATGAAAACCGTATAAATTCGTTATTCAATTAATTTTCAAGTGATATTTTAAAATAAATCACAAAAACATTGTTGTTTAGGCGATTAGTGGCTTTCGACTAGAAAATTGTCATTATGTTGAATACATATGGCGTAGACTATTTGATTTTTTTATACACAACTATCAATCTCATGCTCAGTAGTCAATTTAAATGTCATTATTAACGTTATACGTAGAAACAACTAATTGAGATTAAACCGATCTTATATCAATCAGAGATACAAAATAATAATGTATAATCAGTTCCTAAAAGTTATCGATTTACAGGTTTACAATACTTGTCTGTATAATTTGTAAACTTTCACTTTACAGTATAAAATCATACTTATACCTATTTTTAAATTAACAATGTCAAAATAAAAATCTACTTCATTTAGAACAAATTTTTTATTTTTGTGTCTTGAATGACGTTTCCTACACTTAGTTTCGTAATAACCGTACGTAGCTAACAAGCAAGCCTCTAGAATTCTCAATTTATTCTCGAACATGAAATAATTTGAGTCAAAGTCACATAAGAGCAAAACAGTCATTGCACCTCTTCCCTAGTTTTCATTGCTTTTTTAACTGACATCAATTTGTAACTTAAAATATCTTTGTTATTTAAAACTAATACGTTTCATAGCAATCAAGAAATAAACTATACATAAAATTAGTTCTTTTGAAAAGAACTCAAGTTCAAGCAAATCAGTACCATTATGATAATCAATACATTCTAAGAACACTGAAATAATTCATCTTCTAATTAGCACCATATATATTGATTTCAACAAAATTTATTAGAATGTTACCTGTGCAATTTAATCAAGAGAATAGAATAGCGGTGACAAGTGACCTTGAGATCAAGGTCAAGAAGAGCAAAAAAACACAATCGACAAGGCAGGTTAGTAGTAAATCAATAAACAGAGAAGCATAGTGACTATTCAAGTAATAATAATAATAATTAATACGATACATGTAAGAATGGATGCTTGTGATGTCCTATTGAAACAAAAGTAGGAGCCGATGATATCGTATAGGAAGGCTATAAAAACTTTACAGCTAATCCAATCTACTTAGAAAATGCAACACCACCAAAAGCATTCAACTTGAACAGATATGAATCTCTTCAATTATTTCACAGATGAATGTATATACAAAGTTCTGAAAATAAGTCAGTTAATTTATATAAAAGGCAAAGTTATGAAGAAGAAGAAGAAGATATGATTCATATATATAGGTGGTTTTGGTGAAATGGTTAGTTTTTAATAAATCTGACTGATCATTATGGTTGAGAAACCGTTGAAAAGCGTAGCGTTACAAAACAATTACTTTATTATAAGTTAGAAGATTTAAGCAACATCTATCAATTTTTTTAAAATTAAATCTTGATGAGCTTGTTACTGTCCATCTGTTGATTAAAAGCATAATAAATTAAGTTTATCAAATTCTGGATAATAGGAAGATAGTATGGAAATTATCCATTGATATGGGCCAATCAGTTTATATGCCCCTGAGAAGTGAAGACTTTACTAGAATGTCTATTTCTCAAACTATTACAATCATTGAGAAATCATTGGGGAGAAAAAGTTTATAAAAATTTTACTTTGAAATATATCAAACCATTAGTAATATATAGCTAATAAACTAGCATATGGTACAAGTAATATAGCTTCTTTAATATGTTATTGGGAAGAAAGTATATAGTGCCTTACTATTGTATATTATCTTTAGGGATATTTCTTTTTAGACTAAAGCAATAACTTCCATGTTTTTCATGATGGTCTGGTTTCAACTGACTCATGATCTCAACCATTTAAAGTAATAACTGTTTACTCAGATTTTACAAATAGTATTTTTGCTAGTCGTTAACTAATATAATACTTTTCATTTCCTCAGCGTGATTTCCAGTAAAGATTACTGGTCTAAAGTCGTCCACCGCAGTCAATAAACGTAACTTGCCAAGTGCAGGTCTATGTATTTGGATTATTTAAGTTGCGTTGTCTATTTGAGGGCTATTGGTATGCTATTCAGCTGATCAAACTGAAGCAGCTACAGATGATATTAAGCCTGTAACCTATTGGTTGGAAGCTGAGTGCTTCTTAACCACTAAGCCATTAATTTCAAATGGTCAGTAAATACACCATCTTGATACTAAAATTTAACATGACAGATATTGGTATTAATATATGAAGATAAATGATAAAACCTTTCTTTTTTAAGAAGTTTAGTGAATAAAGAGCTGCTATGAAAAAAAACAAGAATAACAAGTGTTAACCCGATCCATTTAGGACAGAATAGTTGGGCTTTTCAATTTCGCATATTCAGAAGATTAAAAAATAAGCAGATTCATGTAAAATTAACTGTAAATGGATTATCTCTGATTACTATGACAAATACCCTCCATTTTAAAACTAATACGACTAGTATTTTTATCATTAAAGAATCTCAGCAAAGACAACATCAAGATTTACCTTCAGATTATAAGATGACCAGATTATCTCTTCATTCTCAACCATAAGACATCAAGATTTCAATATTTTGAAAATAGTATATATATATATATATATATATATATATATATATATATATATATATATATACCATCAGTATACAAAATATTGCATATGTACACAATATGCATGATGGTAAATGTTTATAAATCGAAATTAAAATCTTCATTACATTGAAAGTGAAAACATCCGATTGGTTAGACAAAACCTTTACCTGTTATTATTTTTCATTGTTAATTTACTCAATAGAATTTGATTATCATCCATGTTAAAATGTAGGTTTCGCACGTGTTAATAACATTTTACTACTACTATTTACTACTGTACTATAGTGTAAACACATTACCTTTGGAATATCGATATTCACTGATCTCTCACAAATTTAGCCAGCATACTAAGTTTTATTATAACTTAATATAAACCACCTGTTAATTTTTGGTGAATAATTTATGAGGCAACCAAATAGTCCAATTGCAACACTAGATGGTGTTAACAATTTCACTTTTTAAAGTGAATCTATTTGAAGACAAGATTAAATAGTGAATTCTAAATAAGTCAAACGAATGTCTATTAATAACTAATTTAATCTGTTTACTAAGTATATGAGGTTATGTGATCAATTTCGGATTATACTTTAGTTGTGTGAGGGCTAATGATACCAACCTGTTAGCCGAATTGAAGCAGGAATTGGTAGCTTAGTGATTAAAGAATCCAGCACCTAACCACACTAGATAGCAGATTTCAAATCCACCTCCATCTAATTGCACTTGAACAGAGAGTAGTATCACTAGCCCTCATTCCTTAAAAGTAAACACAAGGACTTGTACTTAGTGTGATAATTTGAGAGTTTGTTACATTATATCAAGGTACGAACGACTGAAAGACTCTTCTAATACGAAACGGTATCTATGCAAATTAGACTCCCCACCTACGTCGGTTTGTGTAACCTGGTAGTACCATCAGCCCTCACACTTAGAGTATGGCTCAATACCAAACACTTGGTGAAAGTTAACTTTAAAAAATATGCAGTAATGCTTCAGAGTTAATAATCCACTCAAGCATAAGAGGGACAACAGAAGAAACTTTCAAGAGACCTTTAATATTCCCAAAAGAATTCAGAAATGTAATGCAACCATCCTACTTTCTATGTTAAAAACAATTGTAAAACTTGTAGTTTCAAATAAAGTTCAAATAAATTGAAAAATATTACAAATAGCGTCAGGTTACAGAGTTTGAACTGAGCTCCTACTTTGGTTTGAACGATCAGTTACTACTGTTAGCTTCAACATAAAAAAATACAATTTAGAGCTGAGTACATAAATCTAGGCTTCGTGAGAAATTTGTTTATGTTAACTAATAACTGTCATCTAACTGACCGTGTATTTTTTCACCAAAACTGTTGTATCCAGAGCTAGATTTTGCTCCTGTTCCACGTCATACGCCACATAACATAACTTCTCTTTCATTTGGCGGATTGTTTCAAAATCTGCTGTTTGATTGAATGCATAACCACGCAGTAACAAGAGCTGGTACGAAAAAAATGAAAAAACATAGGAAACTAAATTAAAAATGGATCACTAAACCAGGTAATAATAAATATATTTTAATGGTATCCCAATGAATGGAAAGTTGTATTTCTAGCGTGTCATGGCTTAATGTAAGTTACTTCTTCAGAGTAAATGAATGACCGAAATAAAACTAACACAAGTTCATATAGTACAAAGAATATTTTTAGTACAGCCAAAATCATAATAGGTCTGAACACGTCGTGCTACACTAAACTGGGTGTAATGCTGACCTATGATAGAGAAAATAAACCACGTTTCCAATCTTAATAGTTTAATGATGAAATGATATATTTGAGTGATAACACTTCGAGCTACTTGACAGATCATCTGTCATTACATCAAAGTGCAACAAAGGTCGAATCGAATAAACATAAAAGGAAGACTAAAAATGTTTATAAGCACTACATTTTATAAAATTAAACTTACAGTGAAGGAAAGAACGGAAAATGTTACGACGCAGACACTAACATAGGTTTAAGACACCACATCACAAACAGATGGAGAGGTGATGGAATAAGTATCTTAGTAGTTTCAAAAAGAGTTGGATTCCGAAGCTCCTTTAAGAACAATCTAAAACAATCATCTTCCTCTGTCAAAACATATAATGAATAGATGTAAAAACAGCTTTTAAATTCTTATAGGTCAACTGTTAGGAATTCAGCCTCAAGTTTATGAAAACTTCAGTTAGTGATATAAAAAGCCCAAGCAGAATTTAGAAACTCTGAATCTGTGGGAAGACAAAGAATGGATGCACCTGCGCTGCTGCAAACGATTTTGAACCACGCTATTCAAAGTCTCTAACCATTGGTTACAAAAGTCACGTGGACCTCAACCATGTGGAAATTCGTAAAAATATATAAATATTTAACTTAAATACACTTGCTTTAATAAGGTAGCGTGTTATGTCGCGACCGGCGACGTTCAAACGTCTTGTTAAATGCGGCAAAGAGAGTCCATCGTAAACTGGGCATATGTGAGTAACGCCATCACCCGAATCAACAACAACCCCAGTCATGAGACCTTGTGAAGAAAATCGGGGATAAGAAAAATATAGAACAAACTTTGCCAATTCATCAGTAAGCATAAAAAAGACGAGTAACACTACCGTTTAAGAGTATTTAAAAACATTTTGACAAATGCCGACAATCTTGTAAATGATACCATAAAGTTAGAATGACGTTTAGACAAAAAAATAGTTGGTTGCTAAGAGACTACATAAATTCTACACCATTTTTGTCCGAAAGAAAGTACATTAATTTATTCCGGATCAAAATACATTTCCGGATAAATGTTCTTAGAAAAAATCAGAAGGCAGTTTCTAAAGATTTTCGTACAAAATTAAATGAAAACGTCATTTTTTGAACATTAGTACAGTACTGACAAGAGATATATGCATGTCGACGGAAAAACCTCTCACGGAAATACATCGATTCAGATTGTCACACTTCCTCTAAAATAAAGAGTCTAACAAAACAGAAAGACATAAAAATTACCGAGGATATGGATCCATAAGAAAGAAAAAGAGGTTATAATTATCTTAAATTCAAACGAATGGCAAGTCATATGTACCGCAGTGACCTGGACCCTAACATTTTCAGCATTTTCGTCAATATGTTTCGGTCAGTCAGTGAGTCAGCTACAACGTAGGACCAGGCACATATCTGGATCGGTCCAAGTTGACACACCTCATTAGCACAACAAGATGAACACCAAATTCATAGAACCAGTTACTTCAATAGCAGTAATATATAAAAGAAAGATTGTGTATAAGCATATAGTACAGGAAGAAAGAATTAGTTTGTAGAAATAAAGGTATAAAGCAATTTTAATCTCACGGTTTAACTGCAGACAAAGAGTGAATACAAAAACGCTATTGTGATCGATTATGTGCCATGTCACCCACAGTCTCCAACTATTGGTTACGATAGTCACATGGACCGCAACCAAGTAGTCTGCATCTACCGACATGGCTCAGAACAGAAGTTAGTGACTTCAACGACTGATGTCACGTTTTGGTTTGGCCGCCATAATGTTCTTCCAACCATCTTCAACACTGGTCAGCATTGCTCGTCGTGGTAATCGGTGTTCAGGCGTACGTAACACGTGGCCCAACCATTCCAGTCGATGAAGATTTACAACTTCATCAACTGATTTACCATCGTTCCATAATACCCTGTGTCTAACCTCACTATTACTTACCCGGTGATCCCAGTAGATGCGAGCAATATTTCTAGGATTTCCGTGATCAAACACTAGTGGCTTACGAGTATCTACTGTTAATGGCCACGTTTTGCAACCGTAAAGTAGAACAGAACGAACTGCCGCACAGTTTACTGGTCTTTTATTGATAGACGGATATCTCACCTTCGGCATAGGTGATGTAGGTTGGCAAAAGCCAAACGCACTTTCTGAATCCGTGCAGATTTCGTCAGACACCAACCCATTAGGGCTGACCAGACCTTGGAGTGAAGTTGTCGACGCGCTCGACTACTTCACTCTCTATCCTTAGTTGGTGTTGACGCAGGCGTCTAATTATTCATTAATACGACTAAATTTTAAATTATAAGGGTATTATTTAACTAGCTAGGAATATGGTGCTTGATATTTTCGACAAAAAAAGCCGTTGTGATTATGAGGACGTATATGAAGTTCCAACAAGTTACTGTGGACTCGGAAACTTTTACAGATGGATGTTTTACTAAGGAAACAAAGCCTGATAAAGTTCACTCCAATGAAAAACAATATAATGGACCGGGAAAAAAACATGATCAACGCCTCCAAAAGTATGGTAATTTGAGTCGTTATTGGCAAATAACACTGAACTGTCTTACAGCCATTACCTGTGGGATTGATTAAATTCTTGACTAAACTCGAAAGAAAATACTGTTGAGTGATGATAACTAGCCAGCTTATTTCCGCAGAATACTTGAAACACTTTTAAAACATGATCTTTCAGATCACAGTGTAACATGCACACAGCTTACAACACTTTTACAGAAGTTATAAATGGTAGCATACCTTGGGCGTAAAGAGTCAATGTCGCTTGGATGGCAATGAATAGTGCATTAAAGCCATATTTTTCAAACATAACTTCAACCATTTTCTCTCTGTTACGCAATGGATTGAGAGGAGGCTCTGTTAACAAAATCTTTGCATGTTTGGGATCAATGTTCATCTTTTTTGGACCGAATATGTAATCATATAAATGGATCATATCGTCCCAATTTCTAACAATGCCGTTCTCCAGTGGATAACTTAATTCCAACATTTGTCTTAATTCACTTGCTTCATCACCTATCATAAGATCCTGAACTTCCAAATTGCCCACGCGAGATGTTGCGCGCAATATTGGTCTCCCTATGAGTGATGGGAAAATAAATTCGGGGAAGGTGGCTCCAGCGTATCCACATTTTACAAACTGAAGATTTCCAGTAAAAGACAAGATAGTAAACTCACTCCTGTACCATTGTCACAAACAACTATCTTATTCCCTTCAGCATCAACAGTCATTGTGTAACGTATAGCTTACAGTAGAGCGCCTTTAAGGCAAACTGTTATTTCAAATCTCAAGCATTAGTCGGAAAAATAACCAACTATTTACTCCTTAGAGACATTAACCAGGTTCTTGGTTATAAAGGAGTCAAGTTCTTAATGTAGTCCCCCAACAACAGAAAAAGGTTATGAACCTGTAGACGTAGCCTACATTTATTTCAGCAAAGCTTTTGACAAAGTTCCGTACAACCGGCTGTTATATAAGCTAAGAAATGTCGGGATTGAATGCTATCTATTGATGTGGATAAAAGACTTCCTAGTTGGGCGTTAACAAAGAGTACGGGTGAACTCAAAGTTATCTAACTGGGTAACTGTGCTTAGTGAAGCGCCCCAGGGTATGGTTTTGGGGCCAGTGCTATTCCTCCTGTATGTAAATGATCTTCCTCGTCTCCTATCATCATTGGTCTTGCTATAAGCTGACGATGTTAAGATATGGAGAACGATACGATATAAGGGTGATAGCTTAGAACTTCTAAATTACCTGAAAAAATCATCTGAATGGTCTCAAACCTGGCAGTTGCCGATAAATACTTCCAAGTGTGTTGCGATGCATATCGGTCATCAAGGTACAGATACATACACGATAAACAACACTGAACTACTTATTGTCCAGACACATAGTGAATTATGAGTCATCGTTAGTCAAGACTTGAAGACTACTGCGCACTACTGTGCAATGGCCGACAAAGGTTTTAGAACCTTATGGTCAATACGTAGGGCTTTTAGTCATGTCGATGCTAAAACGTTTTTAACTTTGTATACAGTGTTCGTACGTCCTAAACTCAAGTACTGCATGCAAGCGGCTAGCCCTTGCTTAAAAAAAGATAGCGAACTTTTGGAAAAGGTTAGGAGAACGGCAACTAAGCTGATTCCCGGAATAGCGAAGCTTCTGTATGATGCCTGACTGGCCAAGCCAAACCTATTGCTGTTGTCTTATCGTAGAACTAGAGGCGACTTGATTACAGTTTTCAAGTTGCTTAGTGATAAATTTGCACTTGATATGCCCTAATTTTTCTTGTCTTCCAAAACAGAGAATTTACGAGGACACTCCAAAAAAGTTCACAAGCCGAGGACAAATTACTTGCCAGTTAACTATCGAATTTTTCGTCGAATCATCAATGAGTAAAATTCATTACCTCAGCACGTTATTGAGGCTCCATCCGTCGACTCTTTCAAAATAAAGTTGGATCAACTGAGAGACCAACATTTCCAGGACTAACACAGGTCATCAAGCCTCCTGTCCTTTCCAAATAAAAAAACTGAAAACCGAAACTGAACATATAGTACTGAATAAATCTCCAAAATAAATAGTTCTTTAAGTCTTCTACATTTGATGCTGACCATATTAATTTACTGCGCTCACCCAGCTCACTGTGCTTGGCCACGCAAACGCACCAGACCACGAATGAGTACGCCGTGCTAACCATCTCTTACGACTGTTAACCTACTTAGATCAAACGTATCTCAAGATATCTGTGGCCTTTCAAATATATCTTAGGACTTCTTCATTGCTGACTTCTGAGTTGACTGAGTGAGCATACTTTGATTATAAAGGTGTCATGTGTAAAAGCATCGTCGAACTCCGAATACTTGTGACACCTTTAAACACTATTTAATATTAGAGGTAGATTGGAAGTCGTTGAAATGAGCAGCTATAGTTGTATTTCTTTTGCGCTCACTCCCAGCCATATCGGCCCTATTGACTACAATTTTGGAAGCGCTCTTTGCGCGAACGCAAACAGTCACCTACAGGATTCCGCTTTTGAACTTCAGGTTGCAAACGGTGAACTGATTGTTACACGTAGTTACACATACGTGCACATGAAGGTTGGCTTACGTAACCCTATCCACCGGGGTTCTGTTGTCGCAGACGCCCCATTGCTAACATTGGCTGCGACCTAATAGGACACCATAACCTTTCATCCCACCCTAGCACATGGAGCTTAACGAATGGTGACTCAAAACTCCCTGCTTGTGTCAATTTTATTCGCTGATCACAATTCACGTCACATTCGAATCTCACGCATCAAGTATCGATTGAAAATATGGCTCGATTATAAGTACATACAACAGCAAAAACTCTGATCAAGAAACTTCTGCGTGCAAACACTATCGTTTCATACAACATCATGACCACAGGACAACCCATATTCTACAAGACACGTTTGTCAACCTCTGCACATCGTAGATTGGGAAAGAGTAGATTATAACACGTGGATGACTTCGGATTACACTAGTCAGTAAATTGTTAGTAGGTATCTACGTTAAGTACAGCTCTCATGAACGATGGTAATGATTAATACAACACAGACAAATGTTGACCACCGAATACGAAAATCAGTCTGGTCTAATGTTCCCTGACCCACATTGACGACTTAACTCAACCTGTAGCTCTTCCAGAGTTACTAAAAGTGGAAAAACTATGGTAACGACTTGATCAATAATATTCTAGTGTCGGTTATTATATTAAGCCCATATACCTTATTCTAGCTTTTGGACGGCTCAATCTATTCATTCTACTTGAGTCGCATTCTGACCTTGTTATTTATTCGCTTATCAATCTTGACTGTTTTTTTATGAGCGTGAAGGTGTGTGTATGCTTCTTATCTCATTACTCATCACATGTCTGTAACTTGTTTTTGTGTGCCTATAAATAGTGATTACCGCTTGACTAAAGGGGATTTGACCCGCCATCTCCACTCGTTTCTCTTCTATCTGTTCCATTCGCTTTATATTCAAAATATATGTATTCACTAGTCCATTCTCGTTAGTTGACTTATTTAATTTCGTTATTGACTAACGCGATTTAGGTCGATGGTTATATTCGAGGATAGGTGATAACAAACATTCATACGATCTCCTTGGAGTCAGATCGCGGGCCACTAAAGTGGAGAGCTCCCTCGACAACATCGTTTGATCTAAGTGGCGATTAAATAACGGGCCACCACAGCATATTTAATCTCCAACTTAAGTGATTTACAAATAAAGCCCGGAGGGAAGAATGTATCTACGCTTTATTTAACGTTAGTTATTTGCGTAACCCCGCTTGTAGCACTTCTAGAGTTACTGCTGGTTCCAATTTCGGACAAGGGTTGGGCACGGGGTCAGCAACGTCATCCCGTAGAACACGACATTGCTAAAACGCTCTAACCAGAATAAACAATTTGAACCATTTAAACTTTATCGTAGGAGTTCAAGGAAATTCATTTAGGAGCATTATAACCTATGGTGAAAGTCGTGATTCTTTGGATGTCACGAGGCTGTTGCTTATTCTGACAACCAGAGCAACAACTAATTTAGGTGTACAGAATGTCCAGACAATGTGGCAGACCAGGATAACCAGTCATATAGCTGTGAAAATGAAGAGAGCTATTGGACAGAAAATATTAGATTCAGGAGAGGTGCTGTTGTACTGTGGTCATGGAAAATAAAATGCTCCGCCTACGCAGAGAGTTGCTTTGATGCTACCCAATAAGGCATGAAAAGCACTTATAGGATGAGAATCTCATGGATTCAGGATCATCAAAGCATTCTTTGAAACAAAGAAGGAGGGGATTATAATGAATGTTATCCAGTGCTAGGTGCTCAACAATGACGGTAATGGAGACGATTAGGATCAGTTTTATTAGAGGCTGTAGTCGACCTTAGAGGCGCCCAAGAAAAAGGGCTGACCATGCTGAATGGGGACCTAAACCGCAAGGGGATTGTAATGATATTGGTTTTAAACCACACGATCTTTGAAGCTGAACATAAAGAAACTGAGAAAATTCACTCTCAAAACGTGACACGAAGAGAAGGTCAACGATGATGATTGCACAAAATATTGATTTGTACGGTATGGCTCAGTTATGTTATCCAAGTTAAGTAATATTGAGACTGAAGACTTCCTAATCGGGTGCCAACAAGAAGTGAGGGTGAACCGGCAGTTGTATGTGCTTAGCGGATCGTTCATGGTACACTTTGGGGGCCAGTGTTGTCCCCCGCTTTATGACCTTCCAAGTCTCGTATCATTCTCGATTTCATTAAATGCTGAAGACGTTAAAATATAAAGAGGATAATAAGTGAAGTAAATACTTTGAACATTTGAAATGACCTGAAGAAATAATTTGGATTGTCTAGAATTAGGCAATTTCCAATAGATGCTTCCAAGTGCTTTGTAATACATGTTGGTCACCGAGGTACAGACACATACACGGTGAATAATAGTGAGCTACCTATTTTCCAGTCATGCCGTGACCCAGGAGTCATCGTTGGCCAAGACTTAAAAGCTACTCCACACTACTGTGCGATAGTCGCCAAGGGTTTCAGAGCTCTATTGTCATTAATTAGAGCCTTTAGCCATGTTGACGCTGAAACCATTTTGACTTTGTTTACGGTGTTCGTTCGTCCTTGAGTTGAGTATTACAGTACGCTAATGCTCTTAGAAAGTTCACAAGCCCAGAACAACTGAATATCGACTTTCCCATCGAATCAGCAACGAATGAAATGCATTACCTTATCATATTGAACGTGAGCGCTGACTTGGTGTACCGGAAACTAAGAAAAGACAATTCTCCTGGCCCGGATATGGTTCGTTCTGCTATACTTAGGGAAGGAGCTTCAATCCTGGCAGCATCGGTTAACGTTATTTTATCATGCTTGCTGAGCCGAGGTAAACTACAGGAAATTTGGAAACTGGCTTACATCACACCGATTTTCAAAGGAATTCAACGCGGCGAAACTTCAAGCTACCGACCATTAGCCCTTCTCTCTATACCTTCAAAAATTATGGAATTCCTGATATGTGGCGGTATACACGTTTTCCCCTAAACTTCTTTTCACCCCGACTGTATGATTTCAGGAAATATCATTCTTGTGTAACCAACCTGCTGATTGAGGTGGGCAGATGTACAACCATCCTTGATCGCAACGGGGGAGGTTCACGCCATTTACCTTGGCTTTTCAAAAGCACTTGACAGAGTCAACTATATATATCTTATCACTAAGCTCAAACGATTGGG